GAATTTGTGCAATTTTGGAAAGTGTCATTCTCCTGACCAGGGGAATTTTGGAGGAGCAGATTAAGGAACTTTTCTGCTTGCTTATTCTCTGACCAGAGCACTCCTCGTATCTTGCCAAAAATCTCACCATTTGTTCCATGGATAGTTTATTCCCCCTAAGAAACAACAGAGTGTCATCTGCAAAAAGAGGATGAGAAATAAGAAGAGCACCCCTCCCTGAATAAAAAGCCTTGATTCTGCCTTCACCATACAGCTTCATCAGGCCCCTGCTTAACACTTCCTTGGCCAAAATAAAGAGAGCAGGTGAGATTGGGCCACCTTGTCTCAACCCTCTAGACGAAGGAAAATTGCCAAATCTTTTCCCATTCAAGCAGACCGAGAAGAATTGGTTCTTTAGGAAGTTACCAATGATGGAAACAAATAAGTTTGAAAAACCAAAACAGCCCAAAGTTCTTTCCAAAAAGTCCCACACCAATGCGGTCATATGCCTTCATCATATCCAATTTAAGAATCACGTTGCCTGCTTCGACTTTTCTATCAAGCTCGCCCACCATTAACTGTGCTAAAGAAATACAATCCCCAATCCCTCTCCCTTTGACAAAACCGTGTTTTGCATTTGAGATCAGAGACGGAATGAGAGCCACAAGTCTATTGGATAGGACCTTCGTGAAGACTTTGTACAAAAAATTGCATAGGCTTATGGGCCTAAAGTCTGTGAAAGAGCAAGGCTTCATCACTTTTGGAATCAAACACAAGGAGTGTGGAGTTAACAGATCTTGGAATCACTCCCCCACTCAAGAAAAAATTAACCGCCTCCAAAAGGTCGCTTTTAACAATATCCCATGCTACTTGAAAGAATCTACCAGAAAAACCGTCAGCGCCAGGGATGCTTTCCACAGACATAGAAAAGACAACCTGTTTCACTTCGGTTAAGGTAGCAGTCATAGTCAAGATCTCGTTAGCCGCTGGTCCAACAAGTTTAGGAATAACCCCAAATAGCTCTTCATCAAGCCCATGGTCCTCTGACATGTACAGTTTAGCAAAAAAGGTTGTGGCCTGTTGAGAGATCTCCTCCTCAGAGTCACACCATTCACCATCTTCACCTTTAATCCTCATCAGTCTGTTCCTCACAGCCTTCCCTTTGGCCAAAGCATGAAAGAACTTGGTATTCCTCTCCCCGTGTAGTGCCCATTTTATGTTAGCTTTTTGTCTCCAGTACAATTCTTCCAACCTAAGTGTTTCCTCTAGATTCTTTCTTGCAGAGTAGTTATCATCCACAGAACGTTCTGCCTCTCGCAAAGCCAATTCCTGCATACTAATCTTTTCAAAAATGTCCCAAACACCTCCTTGTTCCATTTTTTGATATTAAACTTTAGCATTTTTAGTTTGAGGAATAAGTTCTCAGCGTTAGCAAACATTCTGTCCAGCCGTTGCCACATTCTCGAATTAGCCCCTCCGATTGAATACAGTCCCCAAATTCATCCATTGCCAACACAGATGGAGAGGCACCCCCCCATTCTTTCATTTGACCTCATCACAATGTTAAAATCCCCCATCACCAACCAGGGCATAGCAAAGGATGTAGAAATAACCTGTAAGTGTCCCCACAAAGGGCCTCCTTAACAAGTAAGTCACAACAACCATAGACCACCGTAACTAACACTGGATCAGCTCCCTGGTAGGAGACTGACACGGTCATAGCTTGTTCAAAGTGCAGCATGCTCTTAACTTCCAAGTTATCATTCCATAAAAGCCACATATTTTTCTCTGCCTTTGTGTTTGCCATAAAAGAATTTAACCCAACAGCAAGACCAAAATTCCTTAGTTTGGTATGGGACATTTTTGGTTCAATAACAGCGAGAAGACTCACCTTATTCATTACAATTAATTTCTTTAATTTGCTTCTTAGGCTCTCTTTTCCAGCACCCCTTACATCACCTTATTCATTACAATTAATTTCTTTAATTTGCTTCTTAGGCTCTCTTTTCCAGCACCCCTTACATTCCACATTAGGAAATTCATCATAAAGAATTTGTTTCATCATTACCTCTGGGACTATGCCCAGTACTGCAGTCGGAGTAGTTCACTGTTGTTTGGTTTAGCAAGATAATTCCTTGATCTTCATTTACAGTGGCATCTTCACTTGAATCAGCCCAATTTTTTGAGCTTTCTTGATCAGAGTAAAAGCCCCTGTCTGGTGGTTCTTTATCCCTCCTGAGTCCACTTTCGTCATCCACGGTGTAATTTTGTCTGACTCTTAGCTCATACAGATGATCCACAAAGAAAGAAGATGAGGTAGGTGAATGAGATTGTTTATTTAACGAGCACATTACTGTACCTGCCATCTGTTGCACCTCTTTAGACCCTTCCGCCTGAGGTTGAGAAAATAGAGCATTATCCATACCGTTCTGTATACCCTTTTCACCTCTTTCGGGAGATACCTCCATTAATGACATTTCTTTCTCCTTTTCTGCGCCCTGTAACCTCTTCTCATCCGGTGTTAGAGTAACCAAATCCTCCTTGTTTTTTGCCTCTGAACTTGCAACAGTGCTTTTTTAAGTAATTGAATCCCCGTTAGGATTTTCCATTTCATCTTTTCCCTCCTCTGCGACATCCTTGCCCGAATGCTCTCCTCTTAACACATTAAATTTATTGGCATCCTCCTCTCCTCCTACATCTAAATTTATAGGATTCGAGAAACTGTGGTGCTTGGTGACCCTCTTTCACGGTTACTTTGGAATTCGCTTTTTTTGTGACTTTCTGCCATGCCTTATCTTTCCCCTTAAGGTCCTCGTCTTTTTTCGAGATGCCAGCTTTCTGCTTTCTTTCCTCCTTAGGGTTGTATGCCTGTTTGTCCACTTTGTTTTCCTCTTCCCTTTTGCCTTTACGACACTCGAGCATCCCATGGCCTTCTTTCAAACACCCAGCACAATACTTCACCAATTTTTCATAATTAATCTTTTGCCAACGCCCACTTGTTCCGCCAAAAAATAGCCAAAGACGAGATGGGTTATCAGCTAATAAATTAACTTCGACACATACGCTAGCCACACCTGGCCTAGATAATAGGAGGGTGGGTGAGTCAATTACAAGGATTCTCCCGATGGGACTCAAAATGTCCCGAAGGCTCTCCTTATCAAAGAGGTGAATTGGCAAACCTGGGAGAGAAATCCAAATAGGAACCACTGGTAGTTCAATCCCAGGCAGGAACTCCGGAAACCACTTGAAGAACCTGAACAAGAAGCCCTCGATGTGTGTTGCATCTGTGAAACTCGGGAAAATTTAAACTTTTTCTTAGAAAGGGCAAAATGGTAATTTGTCATCCTAATGCGTATTTAAAATAATCATGTTCTAGACCTCGGTTGAGGAAACGGAGTTCGCCGTTGGATTCGTATCGCAAAATCTAATCACCCTGTCAAATTTCGTCGAATTTCGAGATAGACGAATTTTTGCACGTTGTTCAAGGCAACTACGAGGCGAATGACATTTTAAAGGTCCCCAAAAATGAATTTTTAAATTTTTTTCTTAAAATCAAGTTAAAGTTCCAATACAATTAATTTTAACTAAATCTGAGGTATAACAAATCGTTTCGGAACGAAAAACGGACCCGGAAGTCTGAAATATGCAGTGCGATGTGGACCACACATTCAGGACTATAAATACCTACTTGACTTAAATATTTTGGAAAAAATATCTCATGTTCTTGACCCTTGGCCGACCATAGAGAGAAGAGACTGAAAAGAGAGAAAAACAAATAAATTCTTCAAGCTTCAATCCAAGATTCTCGGAGTTTCGTCGATCGGAATTCGTCGAGCCAAGAATCAAAGTTCATCTCCTCGACGAGGATTACGTGTACGTACCAAGAAAAGTGGATTTCACCGAAGGTGCAAAGAAAAGACTTTGGAGGAATCAAAGGTTCTTGGGTTTGTTTTGGTGTTTTTTAGAAGTTCTACCACTTCTTACACGCTACAAGAGGTAGGGTTCGCTCCTACCTTGGTTTTATTCTTACCTTAAGTGGGCTTTTAGTGGCTGAAAATGGTTTATATGTGGGCTGTCCAAATAGACTGTTAAGGGGCTGAATTTTGGACTGTTAAGGGGCTGAATTACGGACTGTTTTGGTGCTGAAATTGGGGCTGTTTTGTGCACTAATTAGGGGCTGTATACAGACTGTTTTTGGGGCTGTTTTAAGGCCTACTTTGGGGCTATTTTAGGGCCTATTTTGGGGCGGTTTAGTGGCTAAATTTTGGGCCACTATGGGCTGATTTTCTTGTGGGCTGAAATATGTGCTATATTTTGTCTTTTAAATTAAGTGTGTTTTTGACATAGATTATGTGATAACATGCTTGTCAATTGTGTTGAATATAAATGTTGACACATGCTAGTTGATGTTTTGACATTGTGATGAAATTATGGGGATTATTAGCATATGATATAAATCGCCATGGTAGACATTGATGTGTAAAAATTGTTCCTTTGGCATGCATTGCAATATGAACAAGGAATTGGCATCACATTCATGGGCATGAGTCATGAGTGTGGATGTGTGTATGCATGGTTAATTAAACACCATTCTTGGTGATTAATGGGTAGACTCGAAAAAGTTAGGTTGAAAATCTGAATGAGTCACATGGTTGCATGAAAGAAAAACTTGTGTCGGGTATAGCAAGAAGGGGTAGATTCCCCCCTCGGGTGCAAGACTCGGCGACTTGGTTATACATTCCCCTGTACTGAAATTCCAAAAAAGTGTAGTATGGTGTACGGAACCGGCGGTATAAAATCCAAAATCCGTTGCCCAACAAGACACAAGATTTTGATTTATAAAGTACTCATATAATGAGTAACACCCATTAATGATTTGGTTTTATAATAAAACAACTTTTATTTCAAACGATCATTTGGTGAATTTTTTCGTCAATTGACGGATTCAGTANAATATGTGTTATATTTTGCATTTTAAATTAAGTGTGTTTTTGACATAGATTATGTAATAACATGCTTGTCAATTGTGTTGAATATAAATGTTGACACATGCTAGTTGATGTTTTGACATTGTGATGAAATTATGGGGATTATTAGCATATGATATAAATCGCCATGGTAGACATTGATGTGTAAAAATTGTTCCTTTGGCATGCATTGCAATATGAACAAGGAATTGGCATCACATTCATGGGCATGAGTCATGAGTGTGGATGTGTGTATGCATGGTTAATTAAACACCATTCTTGGTGATTAATGGGTAGACTCGAAAAAGTTAGGTTGAAAATCTGAATGAGTCACATGGTTGCATGAAAGAAAAACTTGTGTCGGGTATAGCAAGAAGGGGTAGATTCCCCCCTCGGGTGCAAGACTCGGCGACTTGGTTATACATTCCCCTGTAGTGAAATTCCAAAAAAGTGTAGTATGGTGTACGGAACCGGCGGTATAAAATCCAAAATCCGTTGCCCAACAAGACACAAGATTTTGATTTATAAAGTACTCATATAATGAGTAACACCCATTAATGATTTGGTTTTATAATAAAACAACTTTTATTTCAAACGATCATTTGGTGAATTTTTTCGTCAATTGACGGATTCAGTATACCTTGGCATTGCATTGTGTCGTGGGAGTCGATGATGACTTGGGTTTAAGTGTATGAGTGAGTATCATCTCATTTCATGGCATGACATGATTACATTCCACATTTAATGCATATTCTTGTATGGAATGATTGTTAAATGTTGTTTGTTGCTTATATACACCACATATGCATCTAAGGTGGAGAGTAGCCTCTAGAGGGATTATTCTACTGGGCGTTAGCTCACCTTATACTGGAAAATATTTCAGGTGGGAGAGATACATCGGTAGATGGCTCCAATTTGGACCCTCATGTTTGAAGAAAGCCGAATGTGGCTTTATTTTGTGATAATGTAAAACATTTGTGGAAATAATGTTTTGGACATGTAATATTTTGCAAATAATTGTAATAGAACTTATATAGACTATTGTTAAACTAACTTTGCATGTGTTGATATAAATATGGATAATTGGACCCGGTGTGGTCATTGTTGAATATTGGACCTCGGATGGGTCTTGTTATTATATGATTGCACAGGTTGAGTTTTTGGCAGNTTTCGGATACGTCTTGTTATTATATGATTGCACAGGTTGAATTTTTGGTAGAGCTTCCCGTACAAAGGAGACTCTGCCCGAATTTCATAAAAAATTATGGTTTCCAGTAAATGGCGCATAATGGCGTGATATCAAATTACTCGGTATCCACGGGTTGATGGGGAATCAACGGACCCCCAGATTTTGGGGTGTCACAGCATCCTTTAACCATGTCTTGACGTAATCCTCATTGTAATCAATGCGTGTCTTGGATCCAAGACCCCGACAGTGAAGTTGCCTTTCAGGGGTCATCTGGTAGTGATGAATTCCTTGATAACACCAACTGATGGTTAACCAAATGCGCATTTTCATATTAACGTCTGGTGGAACTTCTTTGAGAGAGTTTGAGTTTCCTCAGAAGACCAATACATCCCAGGTTCCCTGTTATTGAAAACCACCCGTTTGGTTGGCCTAAAACAAGATGCTGAAGGAATTGGAGAGGAGACCCCTTCAATCAGCTGTGGAGACTGTGTATCCGAAGAGCTCGAAGGAGCCGAAGGAAAAACAAACACCAAAGGAGGCGAAGTTGATGGGGGGTTTTTTGAAAAGGGAAGCAAAATTTTTTGTAATATTAGATCCGGGTTGGAGATTGGGATTTGTGGGGAGGATACCAGAGGAGTTTGCGATTACCTGTTGCGATCCTGAAGCATTTGCACCATCTGCCCTAACTCGGACAATTGCACCGATTGTGGAAGGATTTTTGCAATATCTGTTGTAGATTGTAGATTCGGGTTTGTAGGAGGCATACAAGAGTTCTTTGTGACATCTTGCAACGTTGTTGAAGCTTTTGCCCCATTCTGAACAATATCGGTAAAGTGTGCCGATGTTGACTGGGTTAAAGGATTTAAAGAAATCTTGGGGGTTGTGATGGAAATAAGGGAAACATCCGGTGGCTTAGGAGGGATTTGACCCTGATTTTGATCAGCAGTCATAATAAATGCGCAGAACAAAGCATAAAGATCAAGAATGCAGGAAAAAGCAAAGAAAACCTAGAGAGTGGTGAGAGCTTCTCTCACTAGAAAAACAATAACCGCCCTTGACTAAACCTAAACCCTAAAATCCTAAACTCTAAACCCTAAACCCAAAATGACACAAAACCTAATGCAATACTAACAATGTCCAAACTATAGACAACCGGTGCCTGAAGATACCATCTAACATAAAAAAAAGTAGTTGATTTGGAACATTTCTCCTTCCATTGCTTGAATAAGAGAAATTGAATTCAATATGGGTTTTGCTAATTTTATAAAAAATTCTAACGGAATTTCCTCTAAAAATAGGAGTCCAAATAAATATCAACTTG